TCCAGCCATTATTCATTCCTGCGGAAGCCATGCGGAAGCGCTGCCTCAGCAGCTTGTGCGAGGAGGTCTGCAGAAGGCCCGAAGACGAAGTGGGCGAGAGTGACATACTGTAGCCATAGCAGTAGGGTAGCAGCGGCCATAGCCGCCATAGCTGTAGCCTAGGGGAAGAGTGTGTGTACTGTGTGTGTGTACTGGGTATCGCGTGTGGGACATCCAGGGTGATCCAGAGTGTGAACAGTGAGTGTTTGAGGCGCACAGTCGCCATAGCCAGTGGAAGTGAACTTACCTGGAAGACATATCTCTGTGTACTGTGTGGGGGCAAGTCGCCAGTTGTGTGCTGCTGTTCACGTGCATGAAAAGTGTGAATAAGTCGAGTCTGATTGCAATTTATGCGTGCCATCCTTGCACGAGGGCCATGCTAATTTTCATTCTCTGTATCGTTCCAATTTTAACGGATGTCCCAAAGGACATGTGTGCAGCCTTTTAATTAAAAAAAGAAAGACAAGTCGCAGCTGTGAAACTCGCAAAAGAAGAAAACAAAACAAAGGAAACAAGGCTGTGGCAGTGATTGCAGTGGCAGTGCGAGTGTGCCCTCCCAGTCAGTGAGGGCATCTCAGCCCCATGGCCAGATAGGCCAGAAAGACAAAAGAAGGTCGCCTGCACATATGTGAGGGACGTCGGGCCCGTTTCCCGGCTTGTATAATAAACTACGTTTTTTATAAAAAAAGGAGAAAAGAAGGGAATTTTTTTCAAAAAAACCCTGAAACACGGATTCGCCCTTGAAAATGGCTAGATACGTTCCTCTCAAGTGCCAGTGTGATCAGCGTTACAATCTTCTGAGGAAGCACAGCTTGAGCAGACGGCGGATACCGCCCTGCCTCGTTGGCAGGGGACTATAAGAAAGACGAGAGAGAGAAAAAAAGAAAACAACAACATTCAGAATGTGACCGTGTTAGCTGTAAGATTCATTCTGTGGAGGAAGACTGTGAGCACGGCCTCGTGGACTACCCTGCCCGACAGCGTTGCAGTAGAGAAAACTTTTTTTTTTTCTTTTTCCATTCACCCACGGGCAATATAAAACTAGGATTTTGTTGGGAAAAAAAAAAAAAACTTAGATTTTGGGGACTTGCCAACCCTGGGTCCCACCCCCGAATTCTTTGGGACCGGGCGTTTTGACGTAATTTCCCAACACTGGCAGAGGTACTAGTGGTTCTAAGGGGAAACAAAAAAGAAAAAAGAAAAAAAACCTAAGCAGCGACTGCACAGACTGGCGGCAAAACTTCTCAGGACGCTCCTTGCCAGATATTCACAAAAAAAAAAAAAATGCAGTTGAACCTAGGCTACCAGCCGGGCCGCCCGGGTCCCGGGTGGCCAGCCCGTGCAAGGACCAAGGAAGGTCCCAGCAAAAAAAAAAAAAAAAACAAAAACCTTCCAAAAAATCCAAAAAAAAACTATGTTATGCAGAAAAATAAACTGAACAACTTTTGCCTCAGGGTTACATCAAAATTCTTCACCAAATATAAAATATAAAATAAATTTCAAAAATATATATATATATCGTCACAAACAGATATTATATATATATTGTCATATATATATATATATTTTTTGGCCCGGCCGGGCAAGTGACCCCGGTCCACGCTGGTAGCCTAGATTTGAACCACATCATGTGCGCACAAGTTGCGCACGTGCGCCACATAAGCGCATGCGCACACGTGCATGCGTGCGTACGTGATGCCGCACATTTACAAAAAAAAAAAATCAGAAAAAAAGATTAGGCCATGGTAACCACAAGTGTCCCTCCCTTTTGGAAATTGTAGGTGCACAGAAAAAAAAAAAAAAATATATATATATATATATATATAGCGTCACAAACAGAACTGCCCGGTAAAACGTAGGCAGAGAGAGAGAAGAGGACAACAAACGAGGGGCTGTGACAAACTGTTTCGTCGGAGTTTCACCGACTCATCAGGAGGCTGAACCCTCAACAGTCTGCAGAATCCCCTCACTGATTACACTGTAAATGATAANACACTGTAAATGATAATCTACCTTAACCAAAATCAAAGTAGACTATCACTCACCCACACCAGATGGAAAACTCTACAGACTATATATAGTAATAATAAAAATTCGGGCGACTTCATACTACTCATTGGATCTATTCTCTTTCCCGAAAGGTCCCTCGTTGGATCTATTCTCTTTTCCAAAAGGTCCCTTGTAATGCTGCTCCCCACCAATAGATGGACCCACCCCGGGAGAGCTTGAGGCGACTGCTCCAGCACCTCAAGCTGTCCCATGGGCCTGCTTTTTCCAAAAAAAAAACAAAAAAAAAAAGAAAGAATCAGCAGGGTTTTTTTGCTAAAGCCTTTTGGAAGGATGTTAATTGAACCGTTGGCAGACCTCGAGCAGACCTCGAGCAGACCTCGAGGAGACCATGAGCAGGCCAGCAATATATATTCTGGATTCGGATTCAGATTCGGATTTGGATTCAGGTCTGTGTTCCAAGAGTTATGGGTTACAATCTTACGACAAACACTACAGTGGCTGTCTCATTTTTTTGTTTTTCCGTTTCTTACGTGCAGTGGGCCTAAGGGACTGGCTTCACTCATCAGCACTTGCACAGAAGAAAAACATATGGCTTGAATGTATGGTTCCAGTTTGTAGGAGAAGATTCATTCTGGTTTTGCACATTTGGCGGTCAGGAGTGGAGTGAAGCGGCCCTGAAAATCACATGCCGAGTTACTGAGTCAGTAACCCATAACTGAATTCGAACACGGACCTGAATTCGAAGCAGCTACACCTTATATACCTGGCCTGTCTGCTCCCTCCTTACTACAAGTTCAGCGACTACCCTTCTCCTGCCGATGAGACCCGGGCCAATTTTGGGTGAGGACCTTTTGAAGTACCCGCAGGGTTTGTTCTGAATAATTTGAAAGGGCTCTCTCTCTCTCTCTCTCTCTCTCTCTCTCTCTCTCTCTCTCTCTCTCTCTCTCTCTCTCGCGCGCGCGCGCGCGCGCGCGCGCGCGTGCGCGTGTGCATGTATACACACCTCACCGTTGCTTCTTTCTTTCTTTTTTTTTTCTTTTTTTTTTTTGTGTGTGTCTGCGTGTGTATCTGCGATCAGCGCACCACACTGCACAGTGCACTTCATCTGTGCGCCACAAGTATGTGTCAAACAGTGAACACATAATTAACACATAATTAGGGGAAGTCACACGACGAATTTCCCGAATGCATATGACCGCTTTTTTCCCACCAGGCCTGGATGCACCTATCCGCAGTTACGTCAGCAGAGAAGGGGACAAAGTCTTTTTTTTGTTTTGTTTTCTTTTGTTTTTCACAATTCATCACTGCCCAAAGGGGGACGCCGGACCCGTTTTCCAGCTTATAATGGAATGGGTTTTTCTTTCAAAAAAAAAAGAAAAGGGGGAGAAAAAAAAACAACAAGAAAAAAACGAAGTCCTAACTTCTTCCCCTGTATAGAACATACGGTCTTTTTTATTATTATTATTTTATTTTTTTTTGTTTATCACGCCTCCCTAAATAGAACGTACGGTCATTATAGCTGTTTTTGCTATTTACACTGGAAGACACCCCAAATACAGCTATAACGACCGTACGTTGTAGTCAGGGGAAGAAGGTAGTCGTGTGAGTATGCCCTCCCGTTGCTTCGGGGGAAGAAGGTAGTCGTGTCAGTATTGCCCTCCAATTGCTTCGGGGGACGAAGGTAGTCGTGTGAGTATGCCCTCCCATTGCTTCTGGGCCTTCTTCAACATTCACCGACGATTCCTCGAACACTCAGGGCATACTCACACTGGGCCTTTCCTGGACGTACCTGATCGTAATTACACCTGCACCTTGATGTACGTAACTGCAATTAGTATCAGAGTTCATTCGAAAAAGTCCAATGTAAGTAATATATATGCCCTCAGAAAAGTGAGCATGGAACCTTCCCTTATGTCTGCACACAACTCTGGGCAATTCTGGAAAATGCTCCCTTCTCCCCATAAGGGCACGAGCCCGGCAACATGGAAGTCCATCCTCTTTTTTTTTTTCTTTTTTTTTTAATTACATGAGGTCCATCCTGGTCAGAGTACCATACACTCTTCTCTTATTTTTTTATTATTTTTTTTTACTCTTCTCTTCTTTGCTGTGACGAAGGCAAGATGAATGTTGTGTAAAAAAAAAAAGAAAAAAAGGATGAAAGCTGTTTGCTGAGCAGCATCTGCAGAAATTGGGCCTCGCTCCACTAATCACAACATGCACAAAAGACAGAAAAAAATGACGCTGGCTCTTTCCGTGTTCCAGCGAGAGATTCATTCTCAATTTGCAGATTTGTGCGAGTAGTGGAGCGAGGCCCATTGTGCTCAACTTTCTAGGGGCTTGCCTCTACAGGTGACGACTCGTTGGCATCTCGTTGCTATCTTGTTGCTATCTCGCTGCTATCTCTTTGCTATCGCGTGTGAGAAGGGTCCTTGCTATCTCGTTGCAGCTATCTCGTTGGTATCTTGTTGCTATCTCATTGCTGTCGCTTAGTGTGTGAGAAGGGATCTCGTCGCTATCGCTTAGCGTGCGAGAAGGGTCGTTGCTATCTCGTTGCTACCGCGCAGCTTGCGAGAAGGGTCCTTGCTATCTCATTGCTATCACATAGTGTGCGAGAAGTCAGAGAAGGGCCCTTGCGACTTCGTTGCGATCTTGTTGTTATCGCGCATCGTGAGAGAAGGGTCCTTGCTATCTCATTCCTATTGCGTCATGTGTGAGAAGTCAGAGAAGGGACCTTGCTACTTCGTTGCTGTCTCGTCACTATCTTGTTGCTATCTCGCTGCTATCGCATAATGTGTGAGAAGGGTCCTTGCTATCTCGTTGCTATCTCGTTGCTATCTCATTGCTATCTCGTTGCTATCTCGTTGCTATCTCGTTGCTATCGCTTAGCGTGCGAGAAGGGTCCTTGGACATGGTGCATGTGATTTACAGCATTCTCCGTCTCTGGTTATGCATCACAACCACTTCCGTCGATCAATTTACAGCCACCTCTCCGAGTGCGATCATCTGGACTCACACATGGTACTTGGCACGAACGGACCGAAGACGCTCCTGCAGCTCAGTTGAGATGGCTGCAGATTTCGCCGATTCCTCCCACACGTGTCTGAGTTTGGCCTTTTGCTGGCTCGTCAAGAACATCATTGTGATGTCGAACCGACCGACGCTTGGGAGATTTTCAAGGATGTCAATGCCCCTGGCAGCATCGCCGGGAAGGAAACATTCATCAACAACTGCAACAATGTCGCAAAGCAGGTTGGCGCTCAATGCATCCTTGAAGGTCTTTGGCAATGTCGACGGGTCCAGCATCCGAAGGACTCGAGCCTGCGCTTGCCGATCATCTGCCAGAGTCTTCCAGACGTTCTCAAACTCGTAGGCTGTCTTGGGGGCAATCACCTTCTTGGCCACTGTCTCTCTTGCCGCTGCCGCGGCACGAGCTGCCATTGCCTGTGAACCCATGACAGCCTGCTGCCGCTGCGCGGCTACCGCTGCCGCTGTTGTCTTTCTGGCCTTTTCCAACATTTGTTCAGTGCCCTTCTTCTTCACAGAATCTTCATGCGCGAGAGAGCCCAACACAGACTGGGTTTCCTGCTCACCACCTCCTTCCCTCACTTCTCCCTCGCTTCCCTTTCTCTTCACAGAATCTTCTTCAGCAAGAGTCCCAGATACAGACTTCGTCTCCTGCTGACTGCCTCCTCCCCCTGCTCTTCGTTCAGTGACACATCCCTTTGCCTTCACAGAATCCTTGTCAGCGAGCACGCCAGACATGGACTTCGCCTCGCACTCACCGCCTCCTCCCCTCGCTTTCTGTTCACTTCCTTTCGACTTCACAGAATCTTCGTCAGCAAGCACGCAAGACACAGCCTTCGCCTCCCGCTCACCAGCTCCTCCCCCCACTTTCCCCGTGCTCGAGCTTACCCCTCGCTCTTCGGAAGAGAGCTCAGTTATTCTGACTCTTGACGCAGCTTCCGATCCAACTGCTGTGTGAGAGCCTGCCCTTCCTCTTGCGGCATTGCCGATGAATGAAGGTTGTAGCGACGAGGAGGCGGGCACACTCCGAGAAGCAGGGGCAGAGGTGGCGACAGCAGCAGGACTCAGACGAGTAGAGCCTTCCTGGACAGCGACCGGACTAGTCTTTTTCCCAACCCCTCTCTCTCTTTCACAAAAGGGCAGAACAGACTCCATTTGCTGCTTCAGCTCCTTGTTCTCCGGTTCAAGACGGAGCGCGACCTCGAAGTCTTGGGAAGCTTCTATGTACTTCTTCAACTCCTTTCTTGCAGATCCTCGGCGCGAGTACGCTTTCACATACATGTCATCAAGATCGATTGCCTCCGTGCAGTCTTCCTCTGCTTCTCTGTACCTCTTCAGTTTCAGAAGCGCCATCGCCCTGTTGGCGTAAGCGATGCAAGTGGGCCTCAATGCAATACTCCGGGAATAGCAATCAATCGCATCAGGGTACCGTCCTTGCCGAAAGAATTCATTTCCTTTATCCTTTTCGGATGCCGCATCTGGTAATGCATCGTCAAAGTCAGCGGTGTCAGCAAGCCTGCTAAGCATGGCGGCTGGACCGCTCTCAAGGGCTCCCGTTCTTGTCCCTTTCAGATGGGACAACGGCAACATCGACGGCAACCTCGCCGAGTCGGTGGTCGACAGGCCAGCTCTAGGGCCAACCATCTCTGGTCCTGCCGCTGCACTGCTGCCTCTCCACGCTCCAATAGTCGGAGACGAAGCAGACGGAGGAGCGTGTCCCTTGCGGGCAACCATGTCGCCTGACACAGATTCACTCTTTTCTCTTTTCGCATTGAACGGCAACAACCCACCAGCTGTCCGAGGAACAGAATCTGCCTTCACGGGAACAGAATCCATCAGACCAGGTCCGCGCTTGCTGCCTCCCAGACGATGGCCACTGCCCTTCGCATCCCTACTCCTCGCCTCGGAGACAACTCCACCCGCCATCATTGCACCAACTCCTTCTCTTTCCCCCGATGGAGAAATCTTTTCAGTGGACACAGCTTTGCCCTCCTTGTCCTCATCGTCGATTGCAGCAAGGGCTGCATCCACATCAAATCTTGCCCACTTGTTGTGGTAATGATCGTACGTGTGCTTTGCGGCATGGGACTTAACGTTAGCTTGTGCCGTAGGAACGGCACTCTGCGGTGGTTGCGGTGACAACCCCTCCCTCTTCTCCTGCTGAATCACCTTCGGGCGCATCTGGGCTGGGTCCAACATGTGCTTTGCGCCATTGGACTTAACGTTAGCTTTTTGTGCCACAGCAGCGGCACTCCGCGGYGGCGGCGATGACGACCCCTCCCTCTTTTCCTCCTGAATCGCCTCCGCACTCATCTGGGSTGGCTCCTGTGTTGTTCTCCCCTGTTGTCCATCTTTAGAATGCTTACGCCTCATCACTTGTTCCATCTCCTGTARRTCCTTTAGGAAGGATTCCAGCTGTGCAGTGTTTGTACTGACATGCTTCTGAACATCCGCCATGACTCCTGCAAAAACTTGTCAGATCCTGACGACCTGCACATTCCTTCTTGGAACTCACCTCTCTCCCAATCGGGATCTAAAATTGTTCCCTACATTCGATCGAGATGGGGATCGAGAGCGTGTGCACCACTCGGCAGCTGACTCTTTTTCCTAATCTGGAAACCTGTAAGGCTGTAACCAAAAAGATTGACGTCAACAACAAACCCAGAGAGCATCAGCCAAATGGCAAGCACAGAACCACAAGCTGCTGAGCTGATTTCAAACCACAAAACACCACAACGCACCCTTCTCTTGCATACTACAAAAAAAAAAAGGGAGCCGTCAGGCCCATCACAAGATTCACAGCTGATCCTGCTCTGGGGTCGATCAAGATGCGTTAGCAGAATTTCCACAGTTTTGAAATCGCATATCATGAGAGCGTTGCATCCTCGTTCTCCCTCTCATTGTTACAAGCATGTCCTCATCCCCTGCTTCTCTTCCTCCTCCTCCTCCTCCTCCTCCTCCTCCTCCCCCTCTCCCCCATCCTCCTCCTCTCTCTCCTCGCACACGGCGATGTCTACTACCTTCACCTCCTCCCCCCCCCCCCCCCCCCCCCCCCCCCCTCTCCTTCTTTCCCCCTCCTACTCTCCTGTTGGAACTGCTACTGCTCCTGGCGCTGTTCCTCCCAACTGCCCAGCATTCACCTCCTCCTCCGCATCTTTCACTTCCACCTTCTTGTACTACATGTGCTGCTGTTGCTGGTGCTGCTGCTATTCCTGCTATTCCTGCTGCTGTTTGCTGATGTTGCTATTCCTGCTGTTATTTGCTGCTCTGCTATCCCTGCGGTTGTTTGCTGCTGTTGCTATTCCTGCTGTTTGTTTGGTGCTGTTGCTATTCCTGCTGTTATTTGCTGCCGCTGTTGCTATTCCTGCTGTTGTTTGCTGCTGCTTCTACTCCTGCTATTCTTTGCTGCTGCTGCTGCTGCAGCTATTTCTGGAGCTGTTGTTTGCTGCCACTGTTGCTATTCCTGCTGTTGTTTGCTGCTGCTTCTGCGCCTGCTATTCTTTGCTGCTGCTGCTGCTGCTGTTATTCCTGCTGTTGTCTGTTGCTGCTGCTATTCCTGTTGTTGTTTGTTGTTGCTGCTGCTGCTCCTCCTCTTGTTTGTTGCTGCTGCTTCTCTTGTTGATCTTTTTGCCCTCTTCTTTTTTTTCTTTTTTTTCACCAAGAAAGGTATATTCTGTCCATCTGGTTGCATTTGGGTTCGAAATTGGGTGTCTTTCAACAGTTGATGATTGTACCAACTGAGATAGACCCACTGGTTTTTGCCCTTCTTTTTGTTTTGCGTGACGAGGATAGCCCTTCACGTTGTTCTTGAATCCATCAGGACTCGACTTCATGATCTGCTTGTTAACAGTTACATCATTACAAGTCTGTGTCATTCCGCTACATGGCAGCTGCTGGCTCTCTTGCTGCTATTCTTGCGGCTTAGCTTTCAACAACGCAAAAGGCCGTTTCTTGAGTATCTGAGAAACACAGAAGGTAAACGCGCGTCCTACGCGTTTCTTAAGTGTGTCATTTCGCCACACAGCAAATGCTGGCTCTAAACCGAAGGCCGCCTGTAGGCCTTTTGCTGCCTGCTGTAGATACGAGGTCTTGTGCCTCCAGGCTGACTACATCTTGCATAAGGGAAAGTCAATCGGTATATCCAATGAGATCTTTGCCTAGGTGATGTGTGTAAGTTGTGGGAACCGTACCTTTCACAACATCCAAGCATGACGGTGCAGTCATTTCCAAACCAGGAGTAGCAAAATGTTTGCTAACATACAATTGCCCGACCACTTGCTGCGCTTGAGATCATCAAGCCATTTCCTGATTCTTGCAGCGGCATGTGGGTCCTTATATTGCTTAGTCAAAATACCTTCAAGTGTGGTCTTGTGTGGCTTGGTGCCACTGCGTCAGATCTATCTTAGTGTACCCGACTTGCATAGCTTGGACTTCTAAGAAGCCCCGCACGGCAGGTTCAACGTTTGTCCCCATGATCAAGGACTGGCTCAAAAGTCCCAGCACCTCGAAGTAGGTTCTCATGGAGCTGATCCAGGACTCTACCGCCTTTCTGCCCATATAAGGAGTACTATAGCTGGGACCAGCAAATGTTTTCTCTAAACTCAAGGCTGCAGCAGTTGCAGAAGTCCCTGCGCTATCACTTGTTGCAGCGAAAGCGGGGTCTGCACCTACTGCAGGTCCCAACTGAACCATACTTAGAGAAGAAGTAGAGGCATGGAGAGGAGCAAAGACAAACTGGTTAGCAGCATTGGAGGCAGGAGGTAGAGGAAGAGAGTTAGGAATCTAGGCTTGATGCAAATTTGCCATCTGCCACATCCGATCACTCTGCTCCTTGGCCATCTCCGCAATCTTCGTCTGACAACGAAAGCGGGGTCTGTAACTACTGCAGGTCCCAACTGAACCATACTTAGAGAAGAAGTAGAGGCATGGAGAGGAGCAAATACAGACTGGTTAGCAGCATTGGAGGCAGGAGGTAGAGGAAGAGAGTTAGGAATCTAGGCTTGATGCATATTTGTCATCTGCCACATCTGATCACTCTGCTCCTTGGCCATCTCCGCAATCTGCGTCTGCAATTTACTTACCTGGTCAAACAATTTAGAGATCTGACCGGGAAGTTGACTGAGCAGGTGACAGTCTATAAGAGCACGCACATACTTAACCAGATCTTTCTCAACCTCAATGTCAGACAAGGAGGGGACTTTTGAAAACAGCCTCTTGGTCTGTAATAGCGGCTTTCCGCTTATCCTCCTTGGCCTTCTCTGCCTTTGTCACTGCCTTGTCGTAGAGGACTTGGAACAATGATTTGTCCTCATCATCGGCTGCTTCCAATTGGGCCGTTTAGGCTACAGAGGTTTTTTTCCATGTTAGAACTACCGGTGTTTTTCGCCAACATCTCAGCAAGTCCCTCAAGATAAGTGCTCTCCCTCTCCCTTCGCTCTCTCTCTTCTTTTTGTCCATGAGTCTCGACGGGCATCGAAACATGCGCTCGAAACAAAAAACAAACTGAAAAGTTCAAAGAAGAGAAGGTAGAACTCCTAGCCGGAGCGGCATTACATTTGGACTAGAGTGAGAGTGCCTACTTTGGTCATCTGTCATAGTCAATTCCTAAGTAGCTTCAAACTTTTTGAGCCGAAGCCGGGTTATGGCCCCGGTATCTCAGAATTCCAAATTCAACATGGTAAGTGGGAGAGATGGCAGGTTATCACGCGTCCTGCTAGTGAAGGGGCTAGCTGGTAGGATGGAAATAGGGTAGAGTGGCAGCAGAGATGATGGCTCTGATGCAGTAAGTCTCGCCGGAGTGAGGTAAAGAGGATTGACGAGGTGGTTTCCTTGAGTCAGTTTTTTGAATCTTGCTTAGTTCTAATGTTTGTCGTAACTTCTGAATAGCTCCCAAATTTTTCTGAGCCAAAAGCCGGGTAATGGCCCTGGTATTTCAACCTTCAATTCTATGTAAATTTCTATATGGGACGCTGGGCCTGGTTCCCAGCACGTGCTGCTCCCCACGAATAGATTGGAGCTGTTCCCATTTAAAAAAAAAAAAAAAAAAAAAACAACCATTTGGACTAGAGAGTAACCAAAAAAAAAAAATCAGATGAGAGTTTTGATCCAGCATCTCCGCCTGATCAGACCGAATGCGAGATCCCCTCAAATCCAATCTAACAAGTTTTATGGATGTACAAGATGGACCAGCGCAGCTCTGCCTGCGTGAATCAGGGAGTTTTATTTGAACACGAAGGCGGGGGCAAACCGAAAAAAAAGGCATTCGGTGGAATTTTGGCAGGTCTTTACATGAGGGAAGCAGGTAACGATGAGCAAAATAAGATTGCAGTACCCACTTCCTGATTGTGATGTGTAAAGACCTGCCTCCTAAGAAGAGACGAAACGAAATGAAAGGAAACAAAAACAAAACACACGACGTGGAGACGCACTTAGTGCCAACGGACTGTGATAGTCCTCTGGATACCCCTGATCGGTATTAGCGGGGTCTATGACCAACACGGGTGTGAGTGTGAGGGCGAGTGGGTTGTGTGTGGTGTGTG